CTACCAAAAATAGTGCTTTGTTGTGTATCTGACGGACGAAAGCTAAACCAGTTCCACCAGTGAAGCTGCAGCATTTTTACAAACCAGTTCTGGTTCATCTGTTTCATTCAACGATCCGCTTTCGCTCTTCTCATTCTGCGTCGCTGTCATGTGTGTATGTAAACAAAGGCACCGCGCATGTGCGTTTTACCCATATTCTATCGCGATATTTCATTTTCTTATCGTTGCCCAACATCACACTGGTATTACCGTGAACGGTATGATATGACCCGGCCCTAATGAACAGTATTCATGTAATAATTAACACGATTTTAAACGCTGCTGCCGTCGTCTTGATTTACCTCCGCGGGCTTGGACAGCCGAGATCTGGCTGATGGGAAACGTGTTTTCTTTGCTCTAAATTTGAAACGTTTCATTGAAGGCAGCCATGATTAAGCCAGCTACTTTGTACTGGTGCATTAGAAACACCAGCACACTAGGCACGACTGTTTTCTTGTCTCTGCAGCGCTCGACTGTACGCGTTAGCTGATGAAGACAGAAAAATAGTCTGTGAGGAAGCTGAAATAATCCAATGAGTTTGTGTGTGACACTAGATGGCCTCTTTATTCTTTTACCTCAAACACTTGCTCCTTTCTCTTTGTCGGTCCGATTCACACAGACATATTTTCCTCTGCAGCTTCTCATTTTGCTGAAGGTGGTGTATTCTCACTAACCTGCTGTACTCTGTGTGGAAGCTTTGCATTTGGATTCTCGTATGGAGACTTTGTTCTCATCTGTTTTCACGCTACCAATTAGCAGATTGTCAAACACACACTGTACTTTCTCCGAGGGACACCTGAGCAACGCTTCAAATAGTAAGGTGTAATCTTCCCACTGATTGGCCCGCTCTTCTTTCCAGCTGCTTTTCTGAAGTTTGGAACAAGCTCACGTACCGGTCACTAGTTTTGTTACAGACACATGATCGGCAGCCTGCAGGTAGCAAACAAATCGAAGAGAGAAGTGTTTCTCACAAATAGACTGTACAGATCACGAGATCACCCAGGAGTGATTCGACTTTGATTGTACTCTTACTGCAACTCACAATTTCCTATTTAATGTGTTTTTGGTGCGTGAATAAAAAGGAAGCTCTGAGCACTTTCTCACACACAGCAGTGATAATGACCGAGCACTTACACGCTGCTTGTTTTTGAAAGCACTGAATCAGAAAAACAGTAAGCATTTGGCGGCTGCTTGTTATGCAAGTGTGCTGCAGGCTTCACCTTTCTACAAGAGGAAGTGAGTCAGTCACCGAGTCTGGGAAAGATGGCGTGTGTCTTTCATTATTCTTAGAAAGGCAGCGAGGATCCTTCACCTCCTTCCACTCACAAAGGTTTCCATGCGCTTTCCCTTCTTCCTGCTCGTTCCCATTTGCCCTGCCTCTGCTCTGCTCGCTTGCGTTTGTTTTCTAGAAAATATACGTACTCGTCTGGCAGCGCATCGTCAGCATCGCAGGAAAGTCCACCAGCCTGCAGCGAGAAGCTTCCAGTGGATTTGTTTTGTTTTGGTTCGGCTGAAGTTTAGACCGGGATGTGCTGATATGTACACAAAGCTCTACATATTGACTTGTTGTCTTCCTGCACCCGATCCCCATAATAATCAATAGGATGCACGTCAGTAGCAGAGCTGCAGACTCTACTGTTAGCACAGGGTGCAGAGCCGTCTGCCTGCCACCTGTTGAGAGCTTGATTGGGTGTTTTACTTCCCGTTTTAACTTCACTCACTGACTGCTCTCGTCTTTTTCCCACTTTCTGTCTCTCTCCACGTCTTCTTATGTCTGTGCTTCAGATGGCAGCCTTACAGAGTCCGTTCTATGGGGATAAGATGAACCTCTACTCACTTTGTAAGAAGATAGAACAGTGTGACTACCCCCCTCTTCCCTCAGATCACTATTCAGAGGAGGTAAGTACTCGTATCAGCTGCCTTTTACTTCTCAGGAACAGAGTAAATATAGACTTGTTCAGTGTTTGTAAAGCAGCCGCCATAGTCTTTAATACAAATCCCTGTCTCTTTCTCTTGATGCCACTTTCCTTTTACTTATATCGAACACTTAAATTATATTTTTATGTCGGTGAAATCCACCCGTCTGCCTGAGCTGCAGCACAGGACTGTGATCAGAAGGCTGAATACGATTTTAGCCGCGCGTATCAAAAGCATCTGGCCGCGCTCGACGGTGGGGTGAAACCAAATGCGCCAGAGTGTCACGTTTCCTTTAGTCAACGTTAAATCGTCTGCCGTAATTCTGCGAAGACTGATCCGTGCGCAGAAACGTAATGCAGCCGGGCTGCGGTTAAAGATCACCTTATTGCTGATTAGCGCTGACATGTGCATGAATCTGCGTGTTTTTCTGTTTGCGTGCCCTCTTTGTGTGGGTGGCGTTTCCCCCGTCTGTTTCTTTTAAATGCGTGTAGTGAAATGCTGATAGGCTGAGTCACAGGCGCACGTGTAGGTATTGGAACCTTTTTCGGTTATTGGCACATTTATTAGATTTGCACTGTTTAAAAAAAGTTGCCTCATATCTGATTAAAGTCAAGAATGCCGTCGCGCTTTATCATGTTTGAGGCCTGGTGCTATTGAAACTACTGCAAACTGACATCACCCCACAGCTAACCTTGTGGTTTAGGTTTGAGTTTGCAGTTCAGATATGTTTAATAAACCCAGTATGAACCATCATGGTCAGGTATGACTTTAAAGCACGCGGTGTGGTTTTTACCTTTAGTGCCGCCGATCTGTAGCCAGTGTGTCTGCAGTGGCTCATTTTAAATGGCTGTTCGTGTCTCCAGTGAGCTCGTTTACCCTGCAGAGAGAGGCTTTTGTTTTACTCTGGTATTTACCTCATTAGCCTGATAAAGGCTAATTGTGAGGTGTTTTAAGCCTCTGTGGTTGCTCTGTGTGTGTGTGAGTGGTTTAGTTCTTGCAAGTGTATATTTGTTACATGAGCTCTTTCCACACACACGAGCGCCACGCTGAGCCTCTGCGTTGCCCCACATGTCACCCCCATCCAGGAGAAAGGAAGACAAAGCGCAGGAGAGAGGGAATGATGGAGCGAGAGACAGGGCGATGGAGAGATGGAGATGAGGGGGGTGCCTGCAGCGCCTGTCTGGATGTAAACAATGCTCCTGAAGGATCGGCAGCAAACTGTCAGCTGCTCATCTTTGTTGTGTCATTTAACCATCTCCATCTATGCTCCCCCCACTACACACACGCCTCCCTTCGCCAGCTCCGCCACCCCCCACACGCACATGAATATTTTACATATCTGCATCTCGGCGCCCTCCCCATCTCCATTCTGTGCGACTAATTCTCAGACTGTCTGAATTTGCATCTTTGCCTCACTTTCTCGCTCACACGCACGCTCGCGCGCCGATACACAAAACTCGCCCGAGCCCGCGCGCCGCGCAACAGCGGCCGGGAAGTCGGCAGACGGTTACCATAGCGACCTCATGTAGATGTTTTTTTTCCCTCCCTTTCTTTCCTCGTCTTTTATTATCTTTTTTTTTTTTAATGATGGCGGTGGCTGTTCCGCCTGCGAGCCTGTCTATCTGCTCCAATCAGCCACCGCGCGCCGCTTCAAGTGGAAGCGCTGTCTCCGGATGGCAGCGGAGTGGCAGCTGTGTGCGTGTGCACGCGCGTGTGCGTGCATATGGGGGGTGTGCTCAGGTAACAGTGGATTCAGCAGACCAATAAATGATTAGCGTGCTACCCCAGCCACGCGCCTCCGTCTCAGTCGGCTTACCTGTTGCTCTGTTGTTGTTGCTATGACGGGAGAGGTCACCTAGAGGGCGCTGTTAGCAACTGTTAGATTTGTCTAGAGCTGCTCTTCTAAATTCCTGTGTGATCTTGTTTCACTGCATCTCTGACAATGTTTCTCTTCTTTTTGTCCCGTCCGCGCCACCAGCTGAGGAAATTGGTAGATATGTGCATCAACCCGGACCCGGAGAAGAGGCCGGACATCACCTACGTGTATGACATTGCCAAACACATGCAGAGCATGACGCAGGGCAGCTAAGCCCAGAGTTACGCACACTATGCCTTGCAGAACTCCTGTCCACGACCTTCTTGCTTTTCAAGCTGGACTCGTCCGTCTTCATTAATAGAAAACTTGCTCCAGTTTCTTGTCATCAATAGTAACACGTTTTTTAATTTTCAGAGTGCTCGTTCAGTCTGTAACCTTTTCTCCCCTCGAGTAAAGAATATATTATATTACCAGTGCAGCTCCTTTCCTAGACTTTAATGTGTATTGTATCTCACCGATGTGTCGCTATGGCTTTCAAACACGTCAGACTGTTTCTCAGTATACGTACTGCTAAAGCAGAGGTACTGGAAAGAGGTGGGCGCAATGTTCAGTCAACAGTCGATCAGTGCAAAATATCATTAAATTTGACCTCGAAAGCTCTCGATGACCTACAGTCGCCTCAGATGGCACAAAAAATAAAATTAGTGTCTAAAAATGGAGCGAAGAGACGTTCGCTCATTGACAGCAACTCTGCAGAGTCTAATTGCGGTTGAAGTGTTGTTGTGTTGCACTTTTTACCCTGGTACTGGAAGGCTGGCAGGGTGATCATGTCTAATGAATGTATTAGAAAAGGAAGGAGCGTTTAGAGGGTAGACTACAGCTGTGCTAGGGGAACACGAGCAAATGTCTCCACAACACTTTGAATGTAAGTCATTGTGACGCCCATGTATTGTCTTTGAAAATATCACAGTGTGTCTTTTCTGAGAGCCGAGCAGGCAAAGAAACTGTAACAGCAGCAGTGTTACATGTGATGTTCACGTCCTCACGATACCAACACGGTTCCCTCCATGACTGAACTAACGAGAGATGAACTGCAGCTGCAGAGTTTCGTTTGTGTCCGAGCCATCAGAAAAGTAGATTAGCTACACAAAACTGCGTTAATGCTGCTGTGTAAGTTGCAGTGCGTGTGTCTTTTATGTAACAAGGGAGAAGTTACTGATCCATGCTAAAAGTACAGCACAGGTAACAGCCAATCAGAGGAGAGGAGACGGTTTATATGTGGGAGAGCATCTTTATGAGTTCTATGCTTTAGCAAAGATTTGTACTGAGGGGGAAACATCGAGTTGTACTGTACCTGGAAATAAACACCACCAAAGAATAACAAAGGAAACCATTAAAATGATCCGTTTGTGCCTTTAGAGGCAGACGACTTAAATAGAAACAGGAAGTGGTTTACGTAACGACAGCGACGATACAGTGAAGGTGTAGCCTGTAAACGAGGTTCGACGCTGCTTTATTTCAGTGTCTTACACGTTAGCGTCAGACCCTGTAAACTCACACGTCCTCTGTTTCTAATGTTTGTTTTTGTCAACATACGAAGTGCGAGCTTCCAGGTCCGAGGCAGCGCAGCTTCTTTTGTGTTCACAGAGAATGCTGCAGTTATTTGTCTGATACTTGCAAACGCAGTGTTTGCAGTTTGTGTTTGCAGTTTGTGTTTGCTGCCGTTCACCTCGTCCTAGATTTTGGTCCTTCGTTGTTTTACATGGCGATAAAAGTGTTTCTGCTCTCTTAAATTTTCATCATCTTCACCTGCAGTCCTGTTAATCTCGTCTGTGTAGCACCAAAACATTGCAGTATTTTAGAGTTTTTAAAGGAGCTGTGGCACTATTTTTATTAAATATTTTGCTTTGATGCTATACAGAATTCCTGCGCTCAGTGTTTTAGGGCCTTTTATGCTTTTTCTTTGAAGCATATCTAACTAAGGCACCTGATCATTTATGTTAAAGTGCATTTCTAACAGCAGCAGAGCGCCGCAGATGTGGAACAAATGTTAATACTTTGTTAAAATCTTCTGTTGGTCCTCACACAGCGCTCGGTCACTTTAACCATCACGGCGCTCGTGTTGTCTTGATGCATCGCAGCGCTCCACTGTGCCTCTTTTAGCTTTGCCCTGTTTATCTTCCACGTGTCCTCCTCAGCATAGTATTGAAGAGTCCAGGTGTCGGCCACAATGCAAAGTACTGGTAATTGATATTTATTGTTTTGTTAGTTTAGTTTTCTCAGTGAACATTTCATGTCAGAAACATACCCGTGACACGCCTTGTACGCAAACTCGATGTAATAAAGCTTTCAAATGTCATTTTTCTTCCTTTTGTCTTGTTTTTCTTGGAGAAGGTTTCGATTGTGAAAAACGTGCTTTCTCTGCAAAAACACAAGCACAGCTACAGGTCACAGGGCTCAAACATGCGGCCCGGGGGCCAAACATGCGGCCCGGGGGCCAAACATGCGGCCGGGGGCCAAACATGCGGCCCGGGGGCCACTTGTGGCCCACGTCACTCCTACTTGTGGCCCATAAATAAGTTCTTAAAGAGATATTTGAAATGTTAAAACAACATTTTCTGAAATATTTCTGTGTTTTCTTGTTTTTTGTACTACTTGAACACTAATGCGACCGTCCAATGAGACTGCAGTGTCAGCAGTGGCCCGCAGCTCATGTAAGTTTGAGACCCTGGTTTTAATTTTGGGTTTTAGGGGCCTGGATGGTAAAACTGGTCCTTTTTACTTCATTTCAAAGTAAGAACTTTAATATTTCCCTTGTAAGGATACCACAGTGTTCCAGCTTAAAGGTAAGTTGTAACTTTCATTGGTTTGTACTTCAGAAAACTTTCGTTCCTCATATTTGTTCAATTCAGCTCAACTTGTCATCTGTGCAGATAAATTAGGCTCCTCCTGAAAACTGAACTCACTGACATCATTTCAGTGTTATTTACTGATAGAATCGCTGCATATTATAAGAATTTTTAGTACAAACAGGAAATCACCGTATAAATGTAACAACATGTAACAAGTATCAAGTTTGCTGTAAAAGAACCTTTGATGTCATCCACTGGGTTGAAGTTTTTCTACAGAATAGTTTCAAATGTAAAAGCGCAAAAATAAAATGTTAACAAATCATTTCATCTAAAGGTATTTAGACCCTCTGCTACACTTCCATGTTTACTTTTGCTTTTATTTAACGGAAGCTAGTATTTAATTTTTCTGCTTATAAAAAGAATTACACTATGATGTCAAAATTGAAAAGGAAAAAAAATCTTTAAGATGTGTCAGAAAGGTCATTATGTTATTTATGAACTTGATACCAAAGTATACGACACGTGGATCGGCTCCATCAGACTCGTCTGTCTTCTGTTAAGCGTCTGTGGCTGTTTAGTTTCTGGACTTGATGCATTTCAGATGGCAGCTCTTGTAGACTCCCACAGCCAGGGCCGAAGACACGATGAAGGCGAAGACACAGATAACAGTGATGACAGCATTACTATTGTCTGTATAACAGAAGACTATCCAAGTGGTGACACTCAACATGTAGAATAAGATGTATATACATTTGATATGGTATAACAGGAAATGCTTCTGACAAGTAGGGTTATTAATATGGTTTATAGAGAGAGTCAGCTGGTGTTACAAAGAAAAATGCATTTCCTCTCACATCCATCAGAACTATTGAATGAATTTACACAGATCAGACTAATGACATCAGCCTCTGGCAACAAGATTAGTGTGTTTTTAAATGCTACTCACACTGTGGAGGCTCAGCGGGTGTTTCAGTGGCTGCAGGACACATTCAGATCAGATGAGACGGCAAAACAAAACCTAAATATGTTAATATGCAGCAAAAGCACGAAAACAATCAGGATGTGCACACCTATATTTACTCTACTCTACAACTACAGAGTCACGATCAGGGCTGAGTAATCAGACCCTCCTGATTCAACCTCCTAGGACCTGAACTCTTTCATGGCTTTTTAACAGAGGTGGGACCAAGTCATAGTTTTGCAAGTCTCGAGTAAGTCTCAAGTCTCAGGCCTGATTGGCTGTGCTACAGCTCACGCACACATACGTACGGAGTGTGGTTGGAATGAATGAATTGAATTAATGGTGCACACTTTCTACATAATGTGTGTTAAATTTTAGATTTGGGGTGAAATATCAAGTCTTTTCAAGTAAACAGGTTCAAGTCCCAGGTCATTGGTGTAAAAGTCCAAGTCAAGTCACAGTCTTAGAACATTTTTTCAAGTCAAGTCTAAAGTCATAAAATTAATGACTCGAGTCACATGACTTGGACTCAAGTC